CAGCTGTTTTTCCAAAGTATACGCCAAACAGTCCACCAGGAGGAGCGAAGACAAAGGAAGCCGGGTGATGGCAGGGCCTCGCTTCGTTCGCACAAAAATCCCACCACTCCTGGTACACGCACAGCCACCCTTTGTCTCGTGAACCTCCCCTTCTCTCTTTTTCCATTCACCAAAGGGTTGCAAGCTCCCCGTCTCTGCGCATGACACCCTCGCTGTCGACTTCGGTTCGTTTTCCCTCCATACGTAAACTCGGCGGACCACTCGCGCGCGAGCTCACCACGCGTTACCTCGAGTCCTTCATCCCCCGTGGGGATGCGGCCACTGGACGGGCCCCTTGACCGAGGTGTTACCTGCACACATGAAGTCAGACCCCCCAAGGCTCTGGTGGCTCTGCTTCCCCGGTACCCGTACGATCTGACCCTTGCCCTCGGTTGTACAACGCAAAGTGGGCACGTACGGCGCACTAGAGGCAAGCCGTAATTGGAAAAGTCGACGACCGGCTAATGCGCATCGAGCTGCTGTCTGTGCTTGTAATACATACGTGTTCTTTGGCAGTGTGTTTCTTTGTTTTTTGTTTTTTTTTTTTTTTTTTATTTCGAGGGCGTATTGTTGTTCACCGGAGAAGTCGGGGATACGCGCGCGTGATTTTTTTTGTGCAAAAAAGGTCGACGTACCCGTAAGATGAGAGCGGGACAGCGGGAGGATTACAATCGCAAGGGCAATCGCGACGAATGGCCGAGAGGATTCGACGGGGGCTGTTGCTGCTGCGTACCGCCGCGGGTTGTTGTTGTTGCTTCCAGGGCACGGGCGCCAAGAGCGAGGACGACGCGACGACGAAAGGTCGGTTTTTTTTTTTTTTTTGTTTTTTACCACTTGAAAAATATTTTTCATGTACCCAGTAATTTCACGCTTGTTGGTTACAGGAGTGCGCGAGCGACGTGGGATTTTTTTTTTGTTTTTCGGCTGTTGCGTGCTTTTTGAGAGTGTATACCCTAGTACAGTGAGTTTTATTGAATGTGGAATTTTATTGTTTTCTGTACGGGATACACTGTAAAATTCAAGTGTGTGAAAGTAAACGTTTAAAGCGTGTAATCGAAATTTCCGTTTTTATAAAATGCTTTATAGTAGTCTTGATAGCTTAGTAAGCTATATTACACCTATTCTATTAAACAAAACAATTTTTTTTGTCAACAATTGATATGAGAAGGCGGTAGAGATGAGTGAAACATTTCTGTCACAGATTTTACACACTTGTGAGCGTGTAAAATCTGTGACAGTCTAGTTTTTTCAACTCCACAGCTTTCCTACATTGGTTTTTCCCATTAAAAAGTATCTAATTCAATGGAACTGGTTAACCACTTGGTGCACCATAGATTTGGTTGTTCATCAAATTCGTTTCCATGTCACTACGACTATTTTATAAAAAAACAAAAATTTCAGCTACACACTTAAAACGTGTACTTTAACACGCTTGGATTTACAGTGTATTTGATGATAATTTTATGTGCATTTCGTCCCCGCGCGTGACCAAAGTTAATATATATACCGTGCTAACACTATTAGCTTATAATTGTCGAGACTTGAATTTAACTAAGTTGAAAAACCGAGTGATTATTTGAAAAAGTAAAACAAATCCTATACATGACGGAATATCTTCTGTAAATTTTTTTTTTTTTTGTTTTTTACCACTTGAAAAATATTTTTCATGTACCCAGTAATTTCACGCTTGTTGGTTACAGGAGTGCGCGAGCGACGTGGGATTTTTTTTTTGTTTTTCGGCTGTTGCGTGCTTTTTGAGAGTGTATACCCTAGTACAGTGAGTTTTATTGAATGTGGAATTTTATTGTTTTCTGTACGGGATACACTGTAAAATTCAAGTGTGTGAAAGTAAACGTTTAAAGCGTGTAATCGAAATTTCCGTTTTTATAAAATGCTTTATAGTAGTCTTGATAGCTTAGTAAGCTATATTACACCTATTCTATTAAACAAAACAATTTTTTTTGTCAACAATTGATATGAGAAGGCGGTAGAGATGAGTGAAACATTTCTGTCACAGATTTTACACACTTGTGAGCGTGTAAAATCTGTGACAGTCTAGTTTTTTCAACTCCACAGCTTTCCTACATTGGTTTTTCCCATTAAAAAGTATCTAATTCAATGGAACTGGTTAACCACTTGGTGCACCATAGATTTGGTTGTTCATCAAATTCGTTTCCATGTCACTACGACTATTTTATAAAAAAACAAAAATTTCAGCTACACACTTAAAACGTGTACTTTAACACGCTTGGATTTACAGTGTATTTGATGATAATTTTATGTGCATTTCGTCCCCGCGCGTGACCAAAGTTAATATATATACCGTGCTAACACTATTAGCTTATAATTGTCGAGACTTGAATTTAACTAAGTTGAAAAACCGAGTGATTATTTGAAAAAGTAAAACAAATCCTATACATGACGGAATATCTTCTGTAAATTTTTTTTTTTTTCTACTCGGTGCGCAATATTTTTTTAAATTGTACATATTGTTAAGTGTGTGATATGTTTTTAAAATAATTTTTTTTTGGTTTATTAATATTATCTTTGGAAAAAATATACAAATTTTTCATCCAAAGATGTAACTTTCCAAAACACAGTTAACTCTCTCCATGTTAGGATAATCAACAATTAAAATCGAGTATTTATTTCAATGAAAAAAAAAGAAAAGAAAAAATATTTCAATAATGTAACAAATAATCAATTGAAAAATTTTAAACACAGTTTTTTAAAATTCCACACAATAAAAACACACATAAAAAACTGTGGTTTTCATTACAAATAAAGAAACCATGTATATCACTATGGCCATGTCTGACCTAACGAGGAACCGTTCTACTTGTTAATTCTTATCCTTAACGGATGTTTTGAAAAAATGATTTAGCCCAACACACCAACAGTGGCGTTTTAAAAAAAAAACTATTTTAATCATTAACAATATCAAATGAATAAATTAAATTTATTACTCAGCGCGCGGATTGTTACACAACGTGTCTTTGTCAATGAAACCAGTCGGCACGCGTTAATAAAATGGTACATGGTGTGCAGCCAATCGATCACTCTTCGACTAATAAAACGCGCTGACGCTCGAGAGACACCAAAAATCTGTTGACGGCACATCTCTCTCTCGAGAGATAAATATAAAGTTCCTAGTTGTAATAACCCGCACCGGTGACTGCAGATGATCACCGAAGCACTTGCAGATATCCATTAATATTATGCAACAGCGGATTACGTATAGAGAGAGGGGCGATCCTAAAACGCGATGCATCTTGACCTTGCATGGCTAGGCTGCATAAATGGCTTTCATCCGAGAGAGAGAGAGAGAGAGAGTGTGGCTCTCTTCTTCCTGCTACGCGCGACTCGGCCTTGACGACCCGAGCTCTCCGCGCTCGTGGCTTATTCTTGATTGCCGGCCAATAAAGTGTACCAAGTCCGCGTGGACGAATGCACGGCTCTTCGCCTGCACGTGTTATTTATACCCTCGCGACTTTGCTCTTGCACGCGCGTGAACCTCGGGAGATGATGATTTTGCGGACTTGCACGTGTGGGCTTTGAAAGGACCTTTTTTTCTTCCTTTCTTTATTCAGTGAATTAGCGAAGAGGTGTGCGTCCAAGAGCAGATAACGGGAGCACTTGTTTTTCCTATGGAAGAAAATATTCACGGGAAATTGGGTAACAGATTTTTTTTCGTTATCTTTATTACTTCGAATAATGGGACAAATATATAAATGTCTACAACATGTGTTTTCAAAAATATTGCATATATATTGCGAGTATGTGGATATTTGTTGAATATTTTTTTAGTTTGGAATTACCGTAAAGGACGGGCTATAAAAATTGTTCCTGTACGAAAGCTCGATTTTTTTTTTCAAACTAACAAGTTATTCGAAATTAATTTAATTTTTTTATAGTCGTATTCAAAAATCTCTTCATGTGATCTGTGCGCAATGTAATATTTTTGTAATAGAATCAACTTTGCAAATATTTTTTTCACTTTTTAATCTAAAACTCGTTGGTACATAAATTAACCTATTTTCTTTGTCCCGAATTATCAACTATGTTTTTCAATTTTTTATCTCCAAGATTTCAGTCTGCTTTATAGTTGAAGAATTAATTTTTGTTTAATGTCAAACGTATAAATTATCTGAGAACTAATAAAAAAAATTTTTCTGTCCCACCAAGCCCCCTTTTGTAATAAAAATTTTTTTTAACTATTCATCGAATGGAATCTATAATGGTGGAAAAATTGTGATAAAATAAAAGTCTAACGTAAGGTTGAAAATATTTTTTTTAATTTATATTCGTATTAAAAATAAAGTCTTAAGAACCCTTAAAGAAATTGGCAAGTTAGATGATAGACAGGTCGTGAGTAGATGATAAAAAAAAATATTATCATTAATACTGAAAAATATATGAATCCCACTAGTTGATTAGTAAGTTTAAAAAAAAAAAATGTTTTCGTCAAATCGGAGCTCTGCTTTTCTTTAAAAAACTAATGAGTCATATGATAAAGCCTCTTTAATCGAAATGTAATTAACTGAGACTAATCACCTTGTTTGTTTAGAACAGATAATTTAAAAACGTTTAATTGTCGATGTTTTTAATTAGGTTTAATAGATTTCAAGTTGTTGTTGACAATTGGAGAAAATATCTGCTTTGATTACAAGTCCTCAAATAAGGATGAAACTAGGTACTTAAATATACATAGTATACAAGAAATTTAAGAGTTAAAAGCTGAACTTGGATATTTACTCGTACATGACTATTGTTTATTCAATCATTAAAAAAATATATAAATATCACGTGAAGTGAGACAGTCAAGTCTAATTGTGCCATTCTTAGATTTTTTGTATAAAAAAATATTAACATATAGAGAATATTGAATATTTTAAATCACAAATCCCCACAATGAAAAAGTGTAACGTTCATTCATGAGTCCTATATGATGATTGTTGCAGGAATGCACTGTCTCGGTGCCGTAGCGGGCGGCCAGGTGAGTCCTAGTGGCAACAATAGCAGCAGCAGCAACGACAGCAGTAACAACTGCAGCAGCAACAACGTTTTGAGCATCATCCGAGCTCTGGGAGTCTTAGTTTGCGAAGGCCGAATTCAGGGTCCTCCACGTGGGTACAGGGAAGGCCCGCACTGCGTCCAGGCACTACAGTCTCAACCCAACAGTGATCATGCCTGCGAAAAGGACAACTACCTGGTTGGTTTTCAACTCTGATAAATTTTTTTTTTTTTTTTTTTTTTTTAACGCGTTACGGTGGACGACAACACTTTGGCTTAATTTAACGTTAATTTAACGAGTTATTTTAATGGTATGGTAATCGTGGCCATTTTTGAATGATGTACAACATTTGATTTTAAATATTTTCAGTGGAAAACGTTATTTTTAAGCGATTGTCATTTAAAAAAATTCCATTTTCGCCCTCGGGTGGTTTTGGGAGGCTGGTACTTCCTCGGGCGAAAAAGCAGTTTTCCGATACTTGTTCGAAAAGTCTCCTTTACGACCCTCGTTACGGNACGGAAAATTTGTTTTGTAATTAACTTCAAACAAACACAATATTTTCGTGACTTGTTTCTTTTGAAATATCAAATATTACTGCAATATAGTAAAAAGTTGTTTCATTAAAAATATCATCAAAGTAATCGCGTCGTTTCATCTTAATTATATAACGACACAATAAATAAAGCGGTTTTAATCACGCGTGTAAAAATCTTGTTTAACTTTTTGTAAACTGTTTTTTTTTTGTTTTTTTTTTTTTACTTTTACACAGCATCAAATAAATATTCCTTGATATCGTGGAAAATAAGCATTGAAAAATGAAAATCCAGTAAAAACCGTTGTCGAATCGAACACAGTCGACCCAACGAGTTATTATACGAATTCCGACAGCAAAACCTCCGATGAACTTGATTAATTTCCCGAAACACCTATACACCCACGCACAGATGAAGCAGAGAAAAAAAGAAATTCTAGAAATTCGGCGTTATCACTCGATCGTTTGGGGGTGGGAATGGGACAGGCATGAGTTTTCACGTAACGTGCCATCAGCATCTCGTGCTCCCAAAGCCACGCGGCCCGAGAAGTAACGAAAAAGAAAGAAAGAAAGAAAAAATGAAAGATAGTCAAAGAGAGAGAGAGAGAGAGAGAGCCCCCCTCACGAAACTGACGTGCACGCAGAAGCCCGGAAACGATGAACTGCCACGGGCTGTACCAGGCGGTGCGCTCGCGGCTCCACTTCAGCCAAGTGGCGGCTTGGTGGTCGCGCACCAACGGCTCACGGCCCAGCTACGTCGCGACGAGGATCGTGCCCAACACGAGCCAATCCCTCGACGATCACCTCAAGCGGTTCCGCGACGCCCCTGCGGAGCACACCTTTCCCCTCGCCGGACTCGGCGATGGCAATTCCATCGAGGTATTACTCATGACCAGCGTCGCTATGTGTGCTTTGCTCGCTTGGGCACGAGTATTTTTTCATGGATTTTTAAGTGGTGTAATCAATTTTTTTTTCTTTTTTTTTCTTATTAAAGTGCAGCGTTTGCGCTGGAAAAGCTTGTTGGTTCATTAGAATTTGAAATACAATTTTTTTAAAATTATTTTCTGTCACACATTGTATGCACTCAACATTTGTATGGTCAAGTGTCTGAAATCAACCATTTAAATACTTTTTTTTATTTCCGATACTTGTTCGAAAAGTCTCCTTTACGACCCTCGTTACGGACCTCGCCTTCGGCTCGGGCCGCAAACCTCTCGGTTCGCAAACAGAGACTTTTCAAACTCGTAGGAAAACTACCATCATTGCCGTTTCGACAAGTAAAAATACTTTTTATTTTTTCTTATTTTTAGTGAACAGATTTATTTTAAAACATTATCATACTGTGTTTTTTTTTAAACTACACTTAGAATCAGATGATAAAAACAAAAAAGAGTAACTCGTTGTTACATAATCTCAAATATATAATATAACAGCCTAAACTATTCACATTTTCGTATTTACTTTGTATTCTGAGTATTTATTTTAAATTTGCGATGAAATTATGTTTTCTCTGCAGTTACTCTATAATATAAAATAGTATCTTTTCTCACATTTTGTGTGAAATATTTTTGACCACAACACGTGATGAAAGTATAACGCGATTCTGCGTGTGGTTAGTGGTCTTCCTTATTTTTAAAAACATTATTATCTACCGCTCGTTTATGCCGCGGTATTTAAAAAAAATAATAATAACATGTTCTAGATTATGTGTATCAAGTAAATAATTAAAAAACTTCTAAGTATTCCTCCATTTTCCTGCATTATCTTGTATTCACAAATTTTATCCGTATAACCAATTTCAACGACAGCATCTTAAATTAAATTTTACTTTGCCATAAAAAATCAGTTATAATTATTTTTTCAATTAAAAACTATGCCTTTTTTTCTCTGTAAAAATTAGTCAAGTTGACGAATAAAACAATAACGATATTCACCAAATCCATGTCGTATGACAAAAAAGCATGAAATGAGAAAAAAAAAAAAAACCCCACACACGAAATAATTCGGCAAAAAAAAATGTTCATCCCTTCCTTGGTTTTTCAGTGCGACAGATACCTCGTACTTGTGCGCGAGATCACGGACCACGTGTCCGTGGGCGCTTACCTCTGCGTCGAGGTAGTACTCTGTAGCGACTGTCCCTGTGGCTCGATCAAATCAAAGAGCAAGCACCGAGTGCTGAGCGTGCCACCGCCATTAACATCATGGCAACACAGTTCAGAGATGCTGCTGGAGTACTGGCGCATCGGCGTCGTGCCAAGCAAGTAAGTCGGGGGGCTCGGTTGGAACCAAAAAGAAAAAAAAAAGAATAGGCCACCATAGTGGTGCGGAGCTAATCAAGAGAACGCGACCGAAATACCAGCTTGGCACTCTTGTCGGCTATGCAATTGCAATACATGGATTTTTTTTTTTTTTTTTTTTTTTATCATCATTTGACATGGTTTGATCTATTGAAAAGTAAACCTTTTTTTTTTCGTAAAATTTTCTATTTTAACTTCGCGTGGATCGATTTTTTTGTTTATTTTGTTTTCTGAACAAGGGCGCGCCGCGTACAAACCGCGTAACGAAGTAAATACATTTTTTACGCAATTGTTTGGCCGATACTGCGTGCTTTTTTCGCGTTCTCTTGGCGAGACGTGAAAGTTACGTGAAAGTTATTGCTTGTACCAAAAATAACAACTGAGTGATATCGCACCGGAAAGTATGTTTTTTTTCCCTTTTTCTTCGCAGTGTTGCGAATGTCCCACCAACGTTTTGCCATCACTTTGAGATTAATTAAAATTGTGACAATTTTCATTGTTTTCTAAGGAATCTTGTATGTTTATGAAGGCTTCAATTTTTAATAATTAATCAAGTTGCTTGATGATGTTCCACTACGAATTAATTACATAATAAGAAATGAGGGTATAGTTGATGCGCTGCAAAAAAAAAATTAATTCATTAAATTTACAACACCGCATTTTTATTTGTTTGATTTTAGATTTTTATAGTTTACAACATTCGCGCTCAAAATTAAAATGTTTAAACGCTAGTCATTTTTAAGATGCTTACGGTGATTTTGAGTACTGTGATAACAAGTACCATTATTTATTAATAATTTTATGTTTTACTATTTAATAACCATACCATATTAATGAAAGGAAAAAAAAGTTTAAAAAGCAACACTGTTTTTAATTTAAATGACTTGATGTACGTCATTAGTGAATTAACGATTAAAAAATTTTTTTTTCTGTACGACGGCATAATTAAGTGTAAAAAATATGATTACAAATAACGGAAAATTTGTTTTGTAATTAACTTCAAACAAACACAATATTTTCGTGACTTGTTTCTTTTGAAATATCAAATATTACTGCAATATAGTAAAAAGTTGTTTCATTAAAAATATCATCAAAGTAATCGCGTCGTTTCATCTTAATTATATAACGACACAATAAATAAAGCGGTTTTAATCACGCGTGTAAAAATCTTGTTTAACTTTTTGTAAACTGTTTTTTTTTTGTTTTTTTTTTTTTACTTTTACACAGCATCAAATAAATATTCCTTGATATCGTGGAAAATAAGCATTGAAAAATGAAAATCCAGTAAAAACCGTTGTCGAATCGAACACAGTCGACCCAACGAGTTATTATACGAATTCCGACAGCAAAACCTCCGATGAACTTGATTAATTTCCCGAAACACCTATACACCCACGCACAGATGAAGCAGAGAAAAAAAGAAATTCTAGAAATTCGGCGTTATCACTCGATCGTTTGGGGGTGGGAATGGGACAGGCATGAGTTTTCACGTAACGTGCCATCAGCATCTCGTGCTCCCAAAGCCACGCGGCCCGAGAAGTAACGAAAAAGAAAGAAAGAAAGAAAAAATGAAAGATAGTCAAAGAGAGAGAGAGAGAGAGAGAGCCCCCCTCACGAAACTGACGTGCACGCAGAAGCCCGGAAACGATGAACTGCCACGGGCTGTACCAGGCGGTGCGCTCGCGGCTCCACTTCAGCCAAGTGGCGGCTTGGTGGTCGCGCACCAACGGCTCACGGCCCAGCTACGTCGCGACGAGGATCGTGCCCAACACGAGCCAATCCCTCGACGATCACCTCAAGCGGTTCCGCGACGCCCCTGCGGAGCACACCTTTCCCCTCGCCGGACTCGGCGATGGCAATTCCATCGAGGTATTACTCATGACCAGCGTCGCTATGTGTGCTTTGCTCGCTTGGGCACGAGTATTTTTTCATGGATTTTTAAGTGGTGTAATCAATTTTTTTTTCTTTTTTTTTCTTATTAAAGTGCAGCGTTTGCGCTGGAAAAGCTTGTTGGTTCATTAGAATTTGAAATACAATTTTTTTAAAATTATTTTCTGTCACACATTGTATGCACTCAACATTTGTATGGTCAAGTGTCTGAAATCAACCATTTAAATACTTTTTTTTATTTTTTAAAAAATTGTATTTTCATTCTAATTGTAAATGCATTGTTGTTGCTGGAAATAATTTTTTGTAAGCACAGTGCTATAAATATAGTAATTGAAAAATATTTTTTTATCACAAATAACGTGTTGAACTTTGAGCAAAACAATTCAATAAACACCCGTGCCCAAGTCTTTTTTCTTCATATTTTGAGCTTCATGCTTGAATTGTATGTACATACTTTGTCTAAACCTGATTGTATTGTCGCAACGGTAAACGTACGTAGCATCATGTATTTGTGAAGTGGCAAGATATTTTTTTTTTGTATTTTTATCCAATTTTATCATTCAAAGGTACTTGCCTAGTGCCTCAATTAAAAATTTCAGTTGAAATTCGTACCATGAGAGGGTTTAGACGCAGTATGTACTCACCATTAGCAAGTTATTTCATAAATACACGCACTGCATCCCTTCCAGGACTATGTTTTATATCAAATTACTAATATAAAAATGCAAGAAAAACAAAACAAAAAAAAGAATAAAAAAAATAATAAATGTGACTGTTTCACGTACAGGTCAGTGTATGGGCCCTGCCACGAATGGAGGAGATACCTCAGCTCCAGTGTGCGATGCACCCACCAGATGAACTGGAACCCCAACTGGTCCGGCCCACCACACCCGTCAAGCGTCTCATATCCACGAGCCCCGTCATCCCGACCAGTCCACCCGCCAACCAGACCACCACCACCACGACCAACAACAACCAGCAACAACAGCAGTCCCACACCACCAGCCTCGAATCAAACACTCAGACTCAGCAGCAACCGAACTTCGTCTACTACATGAGCTCCTTTCGCTCGGCGGGACAACCTCAGCAACAGCAACAGCAGCAACAACAACAAGCCCAGCCGGTCCTTCTGGACGACAGGCTGCTCATCCCGTGCGACAAGCCGGGCAAACACCACTGCCGGTGCGCCGACGAGGAAGACGAGGAGCTCGACGGCACGGTACCGACCCCCGTCTCCGTGGTCTCCTCCATCGCCCGGCCCAACGGGGAGCGCAAACGCCGCCGCTCCCTACCCTGCCGGCCCCCCGAGCCCGACCCACCCGAGCCCCAACACCACGTGGCCGCGCCCCCCTCGAGCCTACCCGCCCTTCAAGAGATCACCCTGGCCCCTCCTGCCGCTGAATCTACCCACGCCACCACCACCACCACCACCGGCTCGCTAGAGGGTCTCGAGCGTAGCTTTCGCACGCAGCTGAGCATCGACGAGCAGCAAGAGCACCTGGAGAAGCGCTACAAACGTTCCGAGTCGGTGGAGGACGAGTCCACCGAGACCGAGAACACCAACGGCGACGGCGACCCGTCCCCGAGAAACCGCGTGGCCAGGGTCAACCTGGTGGTCAATCCGCTGTGCAGCGACGAGGTGCAGCCTCCCGAGACACCGAAAAAGGTATAAAATTGCCCCTCATGGGAAAGGACCTCTGAATTTGCCTTACCCAACCCTCGTTGTCTTGTAGGAGAAGGAGGGCGAGCAGCAAGGCGTCGGTATCCTCGACTGGATCAGCCGGGTGCCCTATCGAGTCCTCGGGGCCGAGCAGCAGGAGCCGGTGGCCAACAAGTGCGAGGTCAGGATGCACAACAGTTGCAACCTCGAGCTCAGCCCTCGGGAGTTTGACGAGGTGCTGGCGGTGCTGAGGGCCCGCACGCCCCTCTGTCGCAAGAGGTCGGCTGTAAGGACGGCCAAGCGCAGGGAGGCCAACAAGCAACAGGAGCACCAAACGACGGACGGGAGCGCGTCGAGGAGCAAGGCAGCGGACGCCCTCCTGGGGGCGATACTCAGGTCGTCGAGCAGGGACAACGACAGCCGGGACGAGGTGATAACGGAAGTGACGCGGGATTGGACGACGCCGCGCAAAGACGACGACGACGACGACGAGCCGGCCACGCCGAGCAATTCGGTTGAGGCCAGGGACTCGAGCAACAACGACGCCGAGTCGTCGCTGCCGTCGGCCCTGAACAAGCGTTTTTCGCGGCTGAAGCAGCTGTTCAAGCGATCGGAGCACGAGCAACGGCTCACTACACCCGAGGACGGTGGCAGAGGTACCCGTCCCAATGGAATACCGGCCGAGTCGCGGGTCAAGCGCAAGATCGACTTTTCGACAGATTTCGAGGACTCCCCGGGGGATGACGAGCTGGAAGACGAGGAAGAGGACGAGCCGAGGGGCGAGGAGTCGGCCGATAGGACAGCGCACTGTGATCATCCAGTTGGGACCAGTACAAACGGCGCACACCCGACTTCGTTACATAGTACAAATGGCGACAAGAGGACCGGTTGCGCGGCCCCCGTCGACGGCAAGTCCACCCTGTCGAGGAAGTCGCACGGCAAGCGCGATCTCTTTCTCGCGAGGTTCAAGCACAACAAGCAGAACAACAAAAACGAGACGGTCGCGGAGTGCGAGGGTCTCGTGAAGGTCGAGGCTTCGGCGGAGGAGAGCGAAAGCGGCACCGAGGTCGAACAGGCCGGGGTTGAAGCTAACGACAAGACCACCGTGCCGTCGGCCAAGGACCAGGCGAGATTTCGAAGGTCGCTTGAGAACGCCGCGTCGATGGTCTTTCACAGCAGAACTGGCTTGCCTCTTACCTCGAGCCCGGCACCCCTGCGCCGGGGCAGCTGCTGCTTCGACTTTGACAGTAGCCTCAACAGCGTGTCGTCGAAGCGCAGGTACGGCCCGTAAAACCTCCGTCATTACAGTCATATCGATATGTATGAACGTGAATGGTTTTTTCGTTTTTAGCGCATTGTTTGAGTTGAACACACCACCGAGTCCTGGTGCAGTGTCGCTCGAGGAGGGCGACCGAGAGGCCGAAAGTACCGGCGACACGGAGGAGGTGACCAAGCGACGCTCGGCTTCGCGTCATCGGCCGCAGAGCCACGCTCTTCTGGGTAGCTTCGAGGAGTCCGCGCTCAACGGACGACTGGAGCCGGTCTCGACCGTACACGGCTTCGCGGCCGAGATCGGGGCCAGCGGCTCCTTTTGCCCCAAACACCGGAAGCTCCCGGTCACCGTTTTTTTCTACACCCTCGGGGACAACGACAAGGTCTCGTCGCCGTACCTCGTGAGTATATTTTGCAGCTGAGTATCGTCATCATCATTTACTGATTTCCATACTGGTTTGCAGGCTCACATCAATCTGGGCAAGAAGCCGTATCAGGTGCCGAGGATGGGAACGATTCAGGTGACCCTCTTAAATCCCTTGGGCACCGTTGTGAAAATGTTTGTGGTGCTTTACGATCTGACCGACATGCCGCCGAGATCTCATACCTTTTTGCGTCAGCGAACACTGCGCGACAAAACGCTACGTTACCTCATTCACCTTAGGTAAGACTTTATTTTTTTTCCCCTTGCCCTCGTTGCCACGTCACAGTGGAAAGGCTTCAATTGTTGAAACGTTTTCAGATTTATGTCCGGCAAAACCGGGCGCATATATTTGCACACGGACGTGCGAATAATCATCTGCCGCAAGGCGGACGTGGACACAGCCTCCGACTTTGGTTCGGAGCCGCCAAAGGAGTTGCGCAGCTACACCCACGGGCCGACGAATCCCAAGTTCTCGCCAAGGTGCTGAGCCACGTGGCTCTTCCCGTGGAGCTGCTGTCAACCGCCTCAGCCGCCTAGTCCTCAGCCCGTCTACGTGTGAAAATTGCCCGATCGTATCGATCGAAACAGTGATAAATGATATTAAGCCTCAGAGAGTCAAGTGCGTCCGTATATGGACGATCGCAGGAAGAGGATGCCGAGGGGCGTTTGCATAGCGTTGCCGATAGGGGAGCACGTTTGACGAATCGTTTTTTTTTTTTTTAACCATATCGTCGTTGACGAGCAACGACAAATTTGTACGCGCTTTTCTTCGTCTCGAATGGGGCTTAACGAGATGCTTTTCGTTGTCTAGTTTTTTAAATCAACAAAATTTTTATGATTATTGATATTTTTTTTTTAATTTTTCGTTGATTCTTCAAACATTTTATTTCAACCTGTTGTGACTGTCGATGCAGAACAATTGAGAGCTGCGGTCGGAGGGGTGGCTGTTGAGGATTCGCTACCTCGAATCAATCGATTAAATAATTGTGATGAATTTGGTGTATATTTTTTTAGTATGGAAAAAGATTTGAAAGATGATGAAATTAAGAATAACAAATTTTGCGCCATGCAATCCAAAAGCGTCGAAAAAAAAAAAAAAAAAAGGAAAAGAGGGGGAGAGAGAGAGAGAACTCCAGTTTTTGAGCTCTCGTTTGTGGTTTTAGAGTAGTGCATAAATGCTTTGATCATTCAAAAGTGTCTTGATATGTAGAACAAAAAAAAATAAAGAAAAGAAAAATGTGCTCGTGATTTCGTCAGATGCTTCGAAAGAATCAGCAAAGGCCATTNCTAAAAAATAATAAATTATCTGAGGAAAAATGTAAACATCGAAATATTTTTTACAAAAAAAATTACGACAAAAACATTACGTATTGAAAATCTTGGACAAAAATTCTATAGTTCGAAATACGAAAAAAAAAATTATTTATGACTGATGGATCATGTAAAATGAAGCTTTTTTATCGATTGGTTTAGGAAAATATGATTACATAATAATACGACATTAATAATGATTTAGAAGAAAGATAAAGTGCTATATTGTTCCGTTATAAAGACGGAACGTGTATGTCTACTCCAAATTTTTGCATTATATTTCTTTTCCCCTGTCATTTTTTCGACGTAATGGTTTTCCGCTATTGCATCAAAGCTAAATTGAGGCTTGTAGATATTATAAGCATTAAACAATTAATACATACCTTATGCCTTATCTCATTATATATATTTTTTGAGCTCTCGTTTGTGGTTTTAGAGTAGTGCATAAATGCTTTGATCATTCAAAAGTGTCTTGATATGTAGAACAAAAAAAAATAAAGAAAAGAAAAATGTGCTCGTGATTTCGTCAGATGCTTCGAAAGAATCAGCAAAGGCCATTTGCTCAACTCTCTGTACATATTAATTTATAGTGTGTAAAACGACAAGAAAAAGGGGGAAAAAAAAGTTTAAATTAAAGTCATCCGTGAGAATATTTTACGCGGGATGATACTGCCATGTACGTAGCACCCTGCTCTAATAAAGCGAATATAAATAATAAAAAGTGATATATCAGGAAGAAAGAACTGGGCAACAAGTATCGTTCGTTGGATCTCCGGTTAACGATATTTCTGTCATTGAACGGACAATAAGATAACATCCAACGCATCTTGAATAATAATTTATCTTACAGATATAATCGTTTTTTTTTTTTTTTCGAGAACAACGACCGATACACGCTTTGTTTCGAGCTTCCGCAAAAATAAATACAGTTTATTTACGTGTATAATAATAATATAAATAATGAGAACACAATTTTGTGTCCATAGCACTGTGATGAATATATATATATATCGATATAGATACAAGAAATCTGTTAAAGAGTAACTATTTGCATAGTAGGTATACAATTTAGTGATAATTAAGTATCTTCTACTAATTTCGAACAAAAATGAAAAAAGAAATTGAACTACGCAGTTATGAAAATTGTATTAATTGAATCTGTAGTGGCGGATTTCCGTTGCCTCACGTCGTTATTTTCATAGTTCAAGATGCTTATTTTTTTGTAGGAAAAAGAAAACGATTTCTCAGCGAATTGAGAGAGAAAAAATTTAAAAGAGAAGATTAAACAAAATAACAAATGAAAGATCGCTTTTAAAGTATCTGCTAATAAAAACGAAACGTTCCTGTTTTCAATAAAAAAACAATCTAAAATTCTTGTCATATTTCTAAAAATTAAAAACACGAAATATGTAATAATTTTAATTTATTTTTAGAAGATTTGATTTATTTATTATAATTCTGTGGTTCATGTAGTTTGTACAACTTTTTGAAAAACCTCAAAGTTTTCAAACAAACGTCACCGAAATACATCTATTTATATAATTTTCCGATTTGAAGAAATATTTTTAGCAAAGGAATAAATGTTTTTATAAATATTTTCATGCTTTTTTTTTAAATTAATTTATTCACCCTTTCATTCCCAACAAGATGTCGGGGTATTTTTCCATAAACAGCCGCTATCACAACCGTCTTTGATCGTCCTCTATATTTTAGATAGAAAAGAATCAAAAAACCCCACACACGAA